TGATTGAGCCCTGTGTCAGGATTCTCACTGGGTGTGAAACCTCCTTGAGATTCTTTCTCCCTCTCCCTTTGCACCCCACCCCCCCAACTCTCCCAGGCACATGCACAAACACATGCTCTCTCTTTCTCTCAAAGAAACAAACAAACAAAAAAAACCAAACCACATGTTGTGTGATTCTATTTATATAAGGCACTAAGGTCAAATTCATAGAGGCAGAAAGTAGAATAGTAGTTGCCAGAGGCTGGGGCAGTGGGGTGGGGGAAATGGAGAGTTACTGTTTAATGGGTAGAAAGTCTCAGTTGGGGAAGATTAAAACTTCTGGAGATGGATGGTGGTGATGACTGTACAACAATATGAATGTACTTAATGCTACTGAACTGTGCAACTGAAAAATGGTTAAGATGGTAAATTTTGTGTTATGTATATTTCACCACAATTTTAAAACATGACTTCCGATTCATCACTGTTCAGCATGGACAGCCCACAGTTCAGCAGTACTGGACATCAATAACCCCACCCCCCATAACAGAGATGGGGACTCAGGGAACTTGGCCACCTTGGGCAGGAGGTAGAGCATGAAGGGAGAACCATGGCTCTCCCAAGGAGGAACTCAACAGGTCCAGCTGGGAATCTCTTGGTGAGGATAGCAACAGACACACCACTACCACACCTGGTTCTCATCAGTGTGTACACACTATGTTCTACCTTGTCCATAGATAGCCAATAACAATGAATGCATTGTACTATTGCACAATCACTGGTTACCTCGTCTCTAAATATTGGACACATGGATGTTTCCAGTTAATCATCAAGACCAGAAGTCAGGGAAGCTTGGGTGGCACTGAGCCCCACGTTGGGCTCCCTGCTCAGCGGGGAGTCTGCTTGTCCCTCTCCCTCTGCCCCTGCCCACTGCTCGTGCTCTCTTTCTTAAATAAATAAAATCTTAAAAAAAAAAAAAAAAGACTAGAAGTCAGGGTTAGGAATTAGGAACAAACATCTTCATTTTCAACCCAGCTCTTTTATCATATCTATGTGTGCTCCTTTCAGGGTCCTTTTAACCTCTGGCTCTGTTTTTTTCACAGTTCCCCTAATGGTGTGGGACTGGAAGAGTGGTTCTCCTTCCTTGTTGCACATTAGAATAGCTAAGGAGTTTCTAAACTGCACTCAAGCTTGGACCATATTTCAGGACGTTTACCTCAAAATCTCTGGGCATGGGACATGAGTGTTTCTAAAAGCTCCTAAATGACTCTAATGTGCAGCCCAAAGGAAAAATAATCTCTTAGGTCTCTTTCCATTCTAAAATGATGAAAGCTTTTGAATTAAAAAGAGAGCTATAAATATTTTGCACAAATAGAGGTTTTCCTTTTCAATTACCTCCTTGGGAAGTATTTCCCCAGAAAGGGACTATGAATTAAGGGATATGTTTTGTGAGATTGCTATTTGGAATAATTAGGCTAATCTACAAGTCATCTACCAAATATGAATATACTCTTTCTTCATTGCCACATCAATATTGCAATGTATAATTTTAATTCATTAGCAAGTTTAACAGATGCGAAATGTATCATAGCTATTTTTTTTTTAAAGATTTTATGTATTTATTTGACAGAGAGAGTGAGAGAGCACAAGCAGGGGGAACAGTAGAGGGAGAGGGAGACGCAGGCTCCCCGCCAAGCACGGAGCCCGATGCGAGGCTCGATCCCAGGACCCTGGGATCATGACCTGAGCCGAAGGCAGATGCTTAACCATCTGAGCCACCCAGGCACCCCATATCATAGCTATTTTTAAGTGCATTTTAAAAATTGTAAAAACTGGACATTTTTTCATTGTTAGCTAACTATTTGGTTTTTGTCTGTGTATGAGCTGTCTTTTGACCTTTACCATGGAGATGGATTATTTTTCTTGAGATCATTATTAATCTGTTAATATAATAATAAACAAAATAGCTACCACTAATTGAGACCTACTATATGATACTGTTCCATGCTTTACACGTATTTTATTTTTTACAAAAATTATACAAGGCAGTTATTATCCCCAAGTTATAAATGAGAAAACTAAGGTTCAGACAGGTTATGCAAGTTACCCAAAGTCACACAGCTAATAAATAGTGGAGCTGGGATTTGAATTCACCTCTCTCTGGCTCTTAAGGACTATCCTCTTTACTGGACAGGTAAACACTCAATGCCTGTTCTGTTCACAGTACATGGTGATGTTTTGCACCATGTGATTCCTGCTCTCTGACCCACAGTGATGGGTCATTTCAGACCCAAAGGTAACTGATGAATATCCTGGCCAACCACCTGTGGTGTATGGCCTGGCCCAAAAAGGTGAGCCAAGCCAATCACATTCCTCTCTTGAGAATGTGAATTTGGAAATGTTGAGTGTCGATGCACTTAATATAAGGAGCAAAAGTGAAAAAGGCTGAACAAAGAGTTGCCTTGTGTATACTGGAGTCAGAGGAGCCATGACAAGTTGAAATTATGAGGGACTAGAAACTAGGGTTAGCAGAGAAAGACAGCTGGTAGAGAGAAAACTAAGTAGATGTGCTTAAAGAAGTAGAGACCTAATCAGAGAACAATCATTTGGCCCATGAGAGGAAAACCAAAGAGTCAAGTACCCCAAGCTACCTCTGTTTTCAGCAACTCTCCAGTTTAGATGCAGGTCATGTATATCCCTAACATAGGTATCCTTTTTCTTGAGCTAACTGGACTTTGTCTCTGTTCCTTGCTATCAAACAAGTCAAAATAAAACACGCTTTTTATTAAATTTTTGAAATATTCTGGATGTTAAGCTTTTATCTGTCACATTTATCATAAAACATTTCCATTTCTATTCTTTCCTTGTTTTCATTACATTTTGACTTTTATAAAAGTGGAACCATCAATCTTATAATCAGTAATACTTTCACCGGTCAAAAACTTACATTTGCACAAACTATAGTGACAGAAAACAGAGAGTGATTGCCTCGAAGATGGGGGAGGTAAGAAGTGAGAGGAGTTAGGAATGAGGCTTTACAAATGGGCATGAAGAAACTTTGGGGGTGATGGATATGTTAATATCTTGAGTGTGGTGAAGATTTCACAAATGTACACGTCAAAACTTATGACATTTGTACATTTTAAATATGTGTGGTTTACTGTATGCCAATACTACTTTAGTTAAACTTTTTTTTTTAAGTAGGCTCCATGCCCAGTGTGGAGTCCAATGTGGGGCTCAAACTCATGACCCTGAGATCAAGACCTGAGCTGAGATCAAGAGTCAAACGCTTAACCAACCGAGCCACCCGGTTGCCCCAAACCATTTTTTAAAACAAATACTCTTCTTTCCAGTTAAGATACTTACACAATTCTATTTCATTCAACTTATTATGCTTCATGCTTGACTAGAACTCACCTGCTATTTATTGTGGTTTATGCTATGGGAGCTTAATCCAAGTTTATTTTTCTCAGTTTTAATATTCTCTTTTTCAACTACATATTACAAATAGTTATTTCTTTCACAATTTTAATGGTGTAATAACACTTGAGAAGTCATGTGTTGAGCCCTATAGTCTTCAATCTATTTCTATTAATATTTGTCATTCCTTGGCCAATTTTTCTGTTTTTAAACCTAATACTATCTGCTTCAGAAGTCTGGAATTTTGTTCCCTTGTGATATTTGTAATGTTTTAAAGTCATGTAAAGCACTTTACATCAAGCAAGGGTGCTAATGTTAGTACACACACACACACACACACACACATATTCTTGTATACTTACATGAAATAAATTTCATGTAACTGTTATACACATTATTTTAACAAACATCTGATGCACTCTATATGAAAAGACTTTAAACAGACAAAATTACCACAAGAATTAATAGACTAACATACAAGATTTTATTCATTGTTCTCCCATCTTGAGCAAAAATTTTTATTGGGCTTATGTATCCAAACAAGATCTAACCTGTCTGTGGTTAATCCGGCCACCACAACTACCTTCTGTACCAAGAAAACTTTCATTCCGGACCTAGCAGGCCACACAGAAATCTGATAACATGCATCTGCTTGTGTTTCAACACAGGACTACTTTCATCATTCAACCACTTCCTAAGTCTCCTTTATTGTTTTCTACTACCTTGGCCTCAAAGTTCTTGAACAAGGTTTACTGTTTTAACTTAGGTTTCATTGGGCACATGTGACATGCCTGGCACTGTGCATGGTCACAGGAATAAAAACAGAAGGCGGCACCCTTGGGAAGTATGTGTTCCTTCCTGTCATGGCTCTTTCTACTTCCTGAAGCAAGTAATAAACTGTGTAGCACACAATAAGACACTGAAGAATACTGATCTTGGAAAAGCCCCTTCAGGGGTGCCTGGGTGGCTCAGTCGTTAAGCGTCTGCCTTCGGCTCAGGTCATGATCCCAGGGTGCTGGGATCAAGTCCCGCATCGGGCTCCCTGCTCATCGGGAAGCCTGCTTCTCCCTCTCCCACTCCCTCTGCTTGTGTTCGCTCTCGCTATCTCTCTCTCTGTCAAATAAAAAATAAAATCTTAAAAAAAAAAGAAAAGCCCCTTCAAATTTAACTTTGGGTTTTTTGGTCTTTCAGGGACTACTGGGCAGTGCTGCCAGACCAGTGCTCTAATGCTTTACTAAATCGGCACTCCATGGGGTAATGCAAAAGGAGGTGTTTGGTGTTAAATGTTGACAAGTTAAACAAAACAGAAACTGCCCATAGAAATTACTTTCATTTATCATTATTTCTCCAGGAGAAAGAAGAACTCAGAATCAAAAGTTGTAATATACTGGGCGCCTGGGTGGCTCAGTTGGTTAAGCGACTGCCTTCAGCTCAGGTCATGATCCTGGAGTCCCGGGATCGAGTCCCGCATCGGGCTCCCTGCTCAGCGGGGAGTCTGCTTCTCCCTCTGACCCTCCCCCCTCTCATGCTCTCTCTATCTCATTTTCTCTCAAATAAATGAATAAAATCTTTAAAAAAAAAAAAAGTTGTAATATACTTACAGGTGGCTGGCAAAACAGATACTGCCCCAAGGCACTGATTTCTGTGGAATTAACCCCTGCTGGAAAGTCTGCAAAGAGACCATAGAGCCTCTTTTCCTGGGAAAAACAAAAAAAATAAGTCAACATTTTGGGCAAATATTCCCACGCCAAATTATTAATACAATCGTTAATCCTCTACAGTAGTATCAGAGTGATTTAAAAAAATACAAATCTGATCATATTAATTCCATAAGTAAGACAGATTAGTGGTATCTCACTAACCTTCAGAAACATGGCTTAGAGGTCATTCAGGACATGGTCTCTGCTTACTCTTAGTCCTCATATTTTTTTTCTATTTTTTATTGTTATGTTAATCACCATAAATTACATCATTAGTTTTTGATGTAGTGTTCCATGATTCATTGTTTGTGCATAATACCCTGTGTTGAAAGTAGTCCTGTGTTGAAACACAAGCAGATGCATGTTATCAGATTTCTGTGTGGCCTGCTAGTGCTCCATGCAGAACGTGCCCTCTTTAATACCCATCACCAGGCTAACCCATTCTCCCACCCCCTCCCCTCTAGAACCCTCAGTTTGTTTTTCA